CAGTAAGTCAGTAATCTTTTAATCAGACTGTGGAATCTTTCCTATATCTGATCTAGAAACATCTCAAAGATACCTTTGGTTGTTGTATTTCCTGAATACTAATACTTTGACTTATCTATAACTCCAGATCTAAAAACAAAGCCCTCAAGTAGCATTTCTGTGACAAATGAAACCAATAACCAATTTAACAAAAACATGAATAGCTTCAACCAAAGATGATAATCAGCAAGAATATTCTGAAGAAGGTTAAAAAAAAAAAAAGGGCAATTAAGTGAGTCCAAAAATTAAACAAATAGGCAAGCAAATAGTTGGTTTCTAGGCTTTTATATTGTTTTGGTATCCAAGTTAATAGTTACTCTGAAGCAATGTTTATTTCTATGCTTATAGGAAAGTCTAAAAATCCATTGCAGATCAACCCCAAATTAAATATTTTGGGCTATCAGATTGAAAATATAGTACCTCACACAGTAGACTTTTATTAGGTAATTTGTTATTGCTAAAAAAGTAAATTTAAGATGTGTTATTTTCCAACAACATTGGCCAGTCTAGCAGAAGATAGTACTTCCCACCACAAACTCTGCTGTACATATACTTAAGACAGTTAAATTAACTTTGAGGTCTGCTTGACTTCCTTCCTTTCTTCCTTGCTAAAATTAGTGGTTCCTGTCTGAATCCATCACCTCCATCCTTCCCTGAGCCCAATAGTGAAAGCAAATTTTATTCCAAATCTTGGATATTAATTCATCTCTTTCATTTTGTTTTGAGATCAGTTTTCATTTTGTTAGAATTCGGGATTGGGCCAGTTAGTCTAAGACAAATTGCTCAAGACACTTCAAATATAATGTGAACCTCTCTCAGCACTTTATTCTGGTGCTTCTGTATCCAGTCACAGCTTAAATCATGTGGTGTAATTTTTGCATGAGAATATAAAAGAGAATTTGGGGAAGTATTTGCAAAGCCTGATGAGGCCAACCTCACCAGGTTGCCTCCACAGGTTCCTCTAAAGAGGCTGATTTGGAGCAGGAGCTTTGTAGGCCATCTGAGGCATCCTCATTAGAAACCTTCTCCCCGTTGCTTAATAGATGGAACAACAGGGATTGGCCTTCTGTGTAGAAAAATTAGTCTTTGTAACTCATCCCTTAAAGCCAAATTTCTATGAAAGCAACAGACAAGAGAGTCCTTTTTCATATGCAGAAGTCTGTGACTGAACCTGGCAGAAGCATATCTGAGAAGTCCATGTTGTATATGAAACAGTTGGACACAGAAGTTTTAACTGCTGTACCCAAACGAATTGACAAATTCTACTTACATGTACTTATATTCACAAATGCAAAGTTTAATGACCTACTAAATAAAGTCCACTAATTTGCGTGCAAAAGAGTTATTCAACACTGTGCAAACAAATGACTGCACAAATACAACTTGAAGCCATACACTGGTTTTAAAGGCTAAGACTCCAAGAAATGTAGCTTGATGAAAAGCTTTCCTAAGGAAAAATTTCTTATTTCTTAAGGAATTGTTTATTGACTGTGTGAATTGTTTTCAAAAGCATCAAATGAAATTTGCTCAGAGCAGAAAAGTGTCAGATAAAGGCAATTACATGGAAATCCACAATATGGAAAAATACACTGCCACTGAAGAAAATACTCAAGCTAGTTTTCAACCTCCCAGCTCCAGAACTGGGAGCAGGAGAGGCATGTTAGGTATGAATGTCATAAAAGCTCAATGTTACTAGGTATTTCTAATGCTATTAAAGCCAGATGGCCACACAACGGAACTTTTCTTTCCACCTTCTTTGTTAGGGCTACAGAAGTTTCTCCTTTGATCTCTCTCTTTTTACCTACTCCACTTTCTCCAGTCATTCCCTCTGAACGCGTCCCCTGACCTGTTTCACACATAGTCACATCACTTTCCACTTCCTCTTAGTTCTTTTCTGGACTTTTCCCCTATGATTCCAACATGCCTTCATGCTCCTGTATGAATGAAGTCCGTGTACATCCCTAGCTTCCTTCTGCCTTTCACCTCTAAATTCACTGAGCGTATTCTGTACGGTTACTAACAGAAGCAGTTTCTTCCCTTACCATCCTACCTCTTTCCAACACTGGCACTCGAATGAAGCTGCTCCCAGGCAGCCCCAGAGCCAATACGTAACTCTTATCCTTCTTGATGATCAGCTCCGTCCGTGATCACTCTCACTTCTCCCTTTATACCTACCTCTAGTAAACAATAACATTTACCAACTCAACTACCATCTCTAGTCTGACAGCTCATAGATCTACCACTCAACACCAGATCCTTTTACCCAAACTAGAACTTTCTCCTGTGCCTTAAGCATTTTCTTCTAGATGTCAAGATGTCATTTCAAACCCAGAAAATCTAAACAGGACTTATAATTGCCTTCCAAACAACTGTCCTCCTTTTCGGCACTCACTATGGATAAGCTGCATCACCATCAGCGAAACATTCAGGACATCGTTCCTGGCACTGGCCTGTCTTTGGGTTTGCATATTGAGGCTATACCTAAGTTTTGCCCATTCTTTTTGTACAGCACCATTGACATTTACCCTTCCTTAATCATTTACACATCTTCAGGCAGTCACCACTGCAACATCTTTCTCCTTAGCAAAAACTTTCTTGACCATACACAGCCAGTATGCTATTTCAAAGTTCATTTCTTATTTCTTTTCTCTTTGTCAATGCTCTCTTTGCATCTTTCCTTTGTTGTAGTACATCAAACATAGACTACTGATCTTCACCTTTAATATCTTTCATAATATATTCCATTCGTATTTGCGCTCTCTCTTATAATATCAAGAAGTTGTATTTCAACTCCAATTGGCCAGTGATTCCTGTTGCCTGCTTGCTATACTTTTAAACATCTGCCATCTATATCCATTTTTCACCTGAAACTTGGAGGAGCTCCCATTAATATTTACAAAATGAAAACTACTAATCTCTTCCAAATACCTGTTTAAAAACCTTCGTTATGATACTTAATAACCTTGAAAACAATTTGGCATAGAGAGATCACAGTCCCTCCTGATAATCATTATTGTCCTATCGTCTCTGTGTGCAAGTCGGTCTTCCAGACACTTCTGCTTTTTAATACTTGAACTGTAACCTTTGCGAGGCAGGGATTATCTTTTTGTCTGTGCTAACACACTACAGTCAAAACACCCTCCTCCACTGTAACTATAATTTCTAGGCACTGCAATAGTACTGGTAATAACAACAACAAATAAAACGCAATCCAGAAGATCTGTGAACAAGAAAAGAATTAAGTGAATTGAATAAATTATTCACAAGAGAGCTCTAGCAGATGAGATTGAACTAAGGAATGATTAATCTTTTTGCACTCAGGCAAATAAGGTTTTTTTTTGTTGTTGTTTAAGTTTCTCAGTCTTCCATGGCTAAAAAGTTGAATCCAATGCAGAAATAAGACTCAGAATGAGAACACATGCAAAAGGGTTACTCCTCTGAGATAGTAAAATTCTCTAGGAGTCATTCTGCCAGAGTATGATAAACCTGTTTTATAATTATTCATTTCTGAAATAAGGAATTACTGATGATAGAACTGAAGAAGCAACAGATTTGTATGGAACATAAGTAACTTTGGCACCGGAAAGGATGATATTCCCCTAAATAAGGAGCATTCAGGAGCTTTATTTCAGTTGCAGTGTGATATCCATTATTTTATACATATCTGAAATCTGATACGAGGGCAAGGAGAATTAAATCTTAAATGAAAACAGCATTTGGGGAATAGGGTTTGTTTGGTTTGCGTTTTTCAGCTGTGACCTTACTTGTGAGGTGTTGTGGTTTCAGCAACTACATCATTCCAAATCTGTTCTGGAAATTTTAAAATCTTTAGCCTGAAAGGGTTATTTCTGCATTAATTTTATTTTTTGTAAAACCCCAAGATGAGAGAAAATGAAGAGCTTAGTTTACACAGTAATGGAAAATTTTCTGAAAAGATAATTTCAAGATAGGAAATGAGTGCATATGACAGGCTTGTTGTAACAGTTTTAGTATCACGAAGCTGCTATGACATGTCTTCAATACCTACACAATACTACAGGAAAAGAACATAGTAAAGTATAAAAGACATATGTGACAAAAATAAACAACAGAACTATTTACTGTATCATGAATTAGGATTTTATAGTAGCCAAATATTGCAGCAAACAGAGCAAACAAAGCTTGCATTTTGCCTCTGTAGCTTTTGGAAATGAACACTTAATTTGGAGAAAGGACTCCTACAGCAGAACTGTTTGTACTCTTGAAAGAAAAAAATATTTGCTTCCTTAAATAAATGTATTTTCAAAAGGTAGAATCATCTGATATGCATCAGATCAAAAATGGAAAAATGGTGAAGGAGGGGGGGAAACCAGTTTCTTCTACTTTTTTATATTTATATGTAACAAAGGGTGAAAAAGGAAACAAGGGAAGTCTCTGGAAATAGTGGGGCCCCTTGGAGGTTAAGGACCAGTACTTTTGCCTAAGGCTGCCTCTGTGTGGAACACATTGCTTGTGATGTCTTCCTACAAGATGTAAAGTTACGGGTCCTAGAAGGCAGATTAAGGTTTCTACCACGAGATCCATAAGCACTATTTCCCTCAGGTATTCTTTCAGATTCTCTCCCCTCGTGCTTCTCTTCCATTTCCCAAGCTGCTCTTTTCAGGCCTAATCAGCCAATAGTGTCTTCTCTCAGTTTTTTCTCAGGCTTCCCTCTCTGCTTACACTAACTCAAAACCAGTACTCCTCTCCCCTCTAACAAGACTGGTTCCATCCTCTCTGTTGGCCTGCCAGGGTCTGACTGCAGCCTGGGCACCTGGCTATAAATGGGTAACTGAAGCATCCCCTTTTCTTTCATATCAGATATAAACACAAGCATCCTCCACATATCCCAACCATCCTTAAAGGATGAAAAGGTGCAAATATTAGCAGGAAGAGTTTAATTTAATGAAGGGAGAAGTTTGAAAAAAAGCTTGTTACCATACTTTGCTTCATCAAGGCAATCTGTAGCCAGGCAGACATATGCTCTAGGGTTATTTCAGAGTCTCCAAACTTCAGTGACCTATGAGCAATGATACCAAATAAATAACACACGCAGGTCACTTGATACTTCCCTTTTCCTGACAACCTGGCATATTTTTGTGACAGTGAATGTCGGACAAAAATACAGACTGCAGACCAACTCTTTTTGTTAGATTCTTCATTGACATTGGATTTTCATATAATACATAATAGCATATAAAACACATTCATCTAGCTAAAAGTCTATATACCGAGCTTTCAGACAGCAGCTGTAAAGGCCTTTGTTAATGTCAAAGTTGACTCTTGCAATGTTAATTCACCTTGCCTTGAAAGAAACATCACTTCATATGAAAAGTGGTGACTGGCATTTTCAACCTTTCAACTGCCAGGCAGATCCCATTCAAGGATCTCATCACTCTGTTGGCTTCAGCAGGGGGAAGCATGGCTTGGAAGGGCCTACTTCCAGCCTGATTCATGATCAATTTAGATAACCTGCAAGAAAATCCAGATAGCCTATGGCCTATCTTCCCCTGCAAGTGCATGGGGATGTTGCCTTCAAGAAGCAGCCATAAAGTGAGCTAGAGTGAACCAGGACAGAGTAGCAATAGAGCATAGTTTTGACTTGTCAGTCAAAGTTAAGGCCCTGCACTGCATCATCATGCTTTAATCATTAGGGATAACTGCTTATTTGCATTCCTTTACTTGACTTTCCTTATTAATGGTCCACTCTATGCCATGAACAACTGAGCAGGACCACGAAGACACACATTAAATACTGCTGACCACTCTGAGATAAACTCTACTCCTGTCTCTCCCAGGTGGAGTCTTTATTTGGAGGCAAGCGGTGGCAATTTAGGACAACGCAAGTTAAGATTAAAGTATACATAGGTCAAGAACAAAGGCCAGACCATTGCAGGTGATTCACTCAAACCTGGATACTAAAGAACTGCGTTGATCTTGGGATCTCAAGCTCCCTGTGATTTCCAAGAGCAATTTACCTTTCTACGTACATAACAGCAAAGGCCTTTTGGCTGCTTGCCCGAGATTAGAGAGCTCACTCCCACACATTAGAAAAGGTCACAGATATTAAAAGAGCACTGTCCCCTCAGCAGACTTAGTTCTGGCTCTGCTCTCCCATAAACCAAGAGCCTACTAATACTAAAATAAAGAGAAAAGATTGAGTTCAATTACAAAACTTACTTTGCTCAATGCAGGACAAGGAAACACAGAACATTTTAATTACCGAGACAGCTCATTTCTTATGTTATGTTTTGCAGGGTGCCCTGATGTCAAAGTGCAAACACAGATGGAACAGAATTCTGCTTACCAAAAATCAGATAGCAGGTCATGGAATTCCACTCATGAAATAACCATTTCTTGCTGTTTTATACCGCATACTCTGTCTGCAAGGTAGATCAGAGGAATTTTAGAAGTGAATTTGCTTCTACTGGGAAATTCTTGTTAAAAAACTCCTACAGCTTATGCACCAAAAACCGTAGCAGGAAATGTAACATAAAAGAAGCACAGTTGGTAAGCATTCTAGTCACTGCAAAACCAAAAGAGAAGAAACAGGTTAAATGTAGTTTTATGTACTGTACCTCCCGAAGTTCCCACATCAGGTATCATCAGTTTATGGTCATATTTTCCTTTAAAATAAATTTTCTCCTTTCACTGTAAAAGAAGCTACACTGTCATCAGAGGAAACTAACTAGGCAGAGGAAATAGTGTTTTCTCTATAGTCAAGCTAATACCAAAATCGAACTAAAAAAAAAAACCCACAGTGATAGTTTGGCTCTGTAATTTCTCCCATTTATTTTATAATAAAAACAGGCAAAGCAAAGTTTCACCGTTCTTTGAGATTGCTAAGCTGATAAAGATTAGACTCTTCACTTGGGAATTTGCCAATCTCTATGGCAAATAGCCTTAACTACAACCAGTTTTGTGTGAATTGTTTGGGTCTGAGCATTACATGTGTCTAAATACATACTTTGACTTTTAACACTTTAATTTTAACCTCTATCATTGTGAGTTGCTTCTCATTTATATTTTTAATTTTGTAGCTTTGTATTTCTGTGCATTGTTCTGCATAGAGTATGAACCCTCACAAAAAACCTGATCTGTAGCGTATAACCATTGTTTTGTGCTTTGGCCTTACTGGGGCTACTTCATCATCATCATTAAGTGGCTGGCAAAAATTATATGCTGAGTCTAATTCTGATCAGTAGAAAAACTTCTGACTCTGAAATCAGATTCAGACTCAGAACGTAAGATGATATGGATATCAACATTCACTTCAGAGCGGGCTTTGAAGAGATCCAGCAGCAACCAGGGAGGACGTGCTCATCCCTTGTTACTATCCACTGTGAAATGGCAGATTGCTGAACAGGGTCTACAGGGTCTACAGGGTCTACCTGCTTGTGGGATGGAGGAAAGACGCTGGGGTTTGGCTGGGTTTTGTTTGTGGGTTTTTTTTTTTTTCTTTTTAATCCCTATCATCCTCCTTCCTTGTATTTTAACTGGACTAATCCATGTGTCAACCAGAGATGGGAGCCACCTCCTGCAGCTGCTGAATGAGGAATGGGTAGCTAGGCACCTGTGTGCCAGATGGGGAAAAAATGTTTCAGTTCACCTGTTGGTGAGTTGATATTTTTTCTTTATCACTTTAGTACTCACATGTACTGCTAGCTTATGAGTTGGTTCTCTATGATACCAGTACATATATTGATGGTAAAATTTTCTTAGGGGGCATAGAACAGATTTTCCCATATGGTGAAGTTTGCAAACTGCAGTGTAAACATCCCAGCTGTTCAGGCCTCTGCTCTCTGCTCGAATTTCCTTTGATTAGAACTTAAGAAAGATCTAACGCACCTGGGGGGGAAGAAAAAAAAGTGGGAAACAATTATGAAGTGAAAAAACCTGCCAGCGCTACCAAATCTGCAGGGAGCTGAGGTCTGTAGAGCCATCCTCAGGTCTGCAGGGACCATGGTGATCCATTAATTCTCCCCTGAAAATAGCCCTGCCTGGTGCCCTGGGGAACATTTGTTAACGGTTTAATAAAGCTGTAGCCTCTGCATTCAGCTACAATGTGGAATACATCTCATTATTTCTATGCCTTTACCAAACCAAAGCTTATTAAAATATAGCACTTAGGTTTTAAAACACTGAAATAATATTTTTAAAATATTTAATAAAACAAAAATCAACCTTTAAATGAAAGTCAAGGATGCATGTATTCCCCTCTGATGTGCGTGAGGGAGATGATGCTGGTATTCTAATACATGAGGATAGGCAATTTGTTACGTGCAAGAGAACTCTGTCCAAGTTCCCTACAGAACAGACAAACTTCACTGTTAAAGTGTATTGATCTGTGGGAAGCTATAATCTTCCGAGTAATGTATCCAATACAGTCACATCCTTGCTAAAGAGAAGCTGAGCCCTGGTAGAAGGACAGGGTGAGGATTATTGCATCATTCAGCACTGATTCCTTTTTTTTTTTTTTTAAATTGGTTTCTGATGAACTAAAAAAACTAAGCTACATTTTTGCATTCTAATCATTTTCACTCTGTTTACATTTGTCCAGATCAAACGTAGGGAAATAAAACTTGATAAAATCAGCTCCTAAAAATCTACGTCCTTCTTCTTTAGTCTTGTAAGTGGTATCTCAGTGGTATAAACAAACATCACATCTCCTTTTTTTAAAGGATTCTGGCAGTATACAAAAGTATATTTAATTCTGCTTTTGTTTAGCATTGGGAACCAGATGTTCTGATGTAATTCAGAACTCTGTCTTATGATTTCCACTGCTTTCTCTATACTCACACTCCACGCTCTCTCTGTTCATTTCTCCATCCTTTTCACTTTATCCTCAGGGGAAAAAACTGAAACACCACACACCCAATCTGCTAACTCCATGTTGTCATTTTCAATATAGCCATGACTTGGTATTCTTACTACGCCCTATTTTCAACAGATCTGACCCTTCATGTCTTCCATCCATTTCTCCTTTTCCCTTATGTGCAAGGTACACCCCCATAGCTGGCTTCTATCCACTACCTCTAAGTGTTATCCGCCCTCACAATTTTACCAGACAACTTAGAAAGATAAAGTTTGTCTACAAGCTGTAATCTAATGTACATAAAACTGAAAAGGGAGTTCCTGTATAAGGGAAACAAATTCAAAGGCAAGCTCATAATAAAAATTTCTGAGAACATGCCATGTTAGAACGCCAGCGATAATGGCAGTGGTAAGGCAGACCATGGACGAGACTATTTCGTGAGCTAAACAGAAGCCTTGTAAAATCGGTAAGAGGTGCAAACTGATTGTTTACTTTCATCCAGGCATGCCAACCTTTTGATTTAAATCAATCCCCTATTTTCCCCCCTACCTACTTTTCAGAGCTAGTAACCACTTCCCCAAGTGAACCCATGTGAGCACTGCAGCTCATCAGTCAGACACATTAGCTGTCATAGAGAGCTTTTTGCACCTACACTACAAACTCGCAGCCTCAGTAAACTAATTAATGTACTTCTGCTTTTGACTAAAAGGAGAAGAAACCCTCATTAAGTAGCTCACCAAATGTCTAGTTTAGGCTCAAAAATAATGAGAGGGCTATTGTGAAAGGAATAATGAAGTTCAGATGTCTGTCATAACGTGTTCCCAAAAAAGTCAAAACGATTATTACTGTATTTGCATTCTCAAGACAGCTTTTAATTCATCTCTCCTCCTATCTTTTCACTTGACTTTATGCCATCTGCCTGGCCAAAACCAGGGGGAAAGACTTGGGGACTGGTTTCTCTGTAAGTCTTCAGATCTAAGCCACAGCTAAATCTCACCAGGTCTCTCTGCCTAAGACATTTCCTACCCAGCCAGTCAGCCAAAAACCTTAACCACATTCTCACCACGTCAAGTATTGCAACATCATTTTCTTTGGAGTCATAAAGCACAGTCTTGTCCTGCTTCAATCTGTCTAGAGAGCGGCTGCAAAGATCAGCTCTGATCCTCTGTTGTTTGCATCCTTTCCTCTGCATCTCTCCATTGTTGGCTCCCATCCATATCACATGAAATTGAAGCTCTTTCTTTCCTTTTAAAGTCTTTCCCATCCTACCTATCTATTCATCCATGAGCAAAGACCAGGTCCCATTTGCAGTCAGACAGTTCACCATCATAGTTCTCCTCAAGACAGCACCTTCCTACAAAAACTCATACTTGCAAGCAGCTCTTATTTAACAAAGGCAAAAGCACTCTGCTATCGTTTTTCAAACCTTTCCTGTTCACAACCCTTTGTCATGATAGACAAACTAGCATGCTGACCAAGATTGCCTCACTGTCTCTTCCCATCTCCTCCTTCTCTACTTCCAGTCCACTGCTTGGATCCATCTGTTATCTCATGCTTTGCACTTAGAGTGTGAGTTGCATTTGGGGGGAGAGGGGAGGAGGGAAAGGAAGGATGTTGTAGGTGTCATATCCTTATACAGTTCTAGGCACAATAGAAGTCTTCATCCAAAAGGACAGTTCCTAGACACTATGACGATAAAAAACAAGATCAGCATGCCCAACAGAGATAGACTGCTCCGTCCAGGCTATGAGAGCCGAACACATCTCCAGCCTAGTGCAGGTTTCACATATAATTGTCAGCTGCTGTCACTTCAGCAGGGTTACCCTTAAACAGGCCATCCTCGGTCACCGAGTGAGCAGTGCTGTATAGCTCTCAGAGCCCTGCTCCCACAGTCACAGAGAAGGAGCCAAAGCTGTGACAAATCTCCTAAAGTAGCTTTATATTATGCTTGCGACTTGGAGCAGACCCCAGCACACTGACTCACCTCGCCTACTGGCAGGGCTGCTTCCTGTCTGAAATGGTATGATGAGGTCCAGGCTTTTGCAGTTAAGAAGAAAAAGCATGCAGGGAGCCCACTGTGTGCAGGCTCATGAAGTGATTTACAATTTCCCAATAAACGCTCTCCCAGCTCTGACAACTACGCTCGCAGCCTTACACACTTTCTGCTGACAGACAGCACACCAAGTTCAAAAGGTCAGTGAACCTGCAGCAGCCACGGGGAGGGCAACAGGCACAGCACATGGCATTGGGAGCAGGGGGAAGGAGGTCTGGACTCCTGGCAATTCCTCATGGAGCATCGCCAACCATTTTTGTAACTCGGTGCACTGTGAACAACATTATCAAGGATGGAAAAGTGTTCATCTACGTGCTAGCAGGAAGTAATGTAAAAGTTTCTGCACTTGGGAGTGGGGTTCTGCTTGGATTCGTTGCTCCTTTTCCAGCTGCGGAGGCAAGCACTGGTGAGGATGAGAAATACTGTGGGGGCAGCAGAGAATTCAAGACAATTCAGAAGCAGCCTGTCAGCCCCAGGGAATATCAGTGCCTGGAACAGACTAGCATTGAGCTGGCCAGTTTGGGTCCATCTGGAGACACAGAAAAATACATAACCCTGGAGGCTGGCAGATATCTCTGGAGACTAGCAGATACCTCTGCAAATTACCTAGTCCAACCTCCCGCTCACAGCAAAGCTAGCTTCAAACAGTGCCCGTAGACCTCAGGGAGGATTTGTCTCTGTGCTGACCTCAGATGGCTGGTGAGTTTCAGAGCCTGAGCCCAACGGAAACAGGAGGAGGCTTAAATCAGACTCAACACATCACGTGAATATCACTCAGACTCTAGACTTTGTAACACATGATGCTTGTACTGCCATAATCAAGGGGATTTAGGATTCCTCCACCCTTCTGCTTTCTCTGCATCTTCTGCCGCATCAGTGTTATCCAGCAGCCTCTTCATCCGCATGCAAGAATGAAAGGACAGAGCCAAGCGTCATACACACAATGAAGACATTGTGTCCTAGACTCCTTCAGTATCTGTGTTGCTCATGAAGGAACTGGGGAGGGGAGAAAAATAAAAAATAAAAAATAAAATCAAAAACTCTCAGTATGAGAAGCATTCGAACTGACATTCAAGTACAAACAGCTTTGCTCTATTAGACTTTCTGCCACCAGAACTGATTACATCAGTCAGGAATTGAAAATGCCCTGACCTACATTTTCAGAAGCGCACAAAGACGACAGTTGTCACAACCCACTTTTCACAGATATTTAGGATTTGCTGTTATATTTGTTGTTGGGGAAAAGTATGGGTTGAGAGAGAGATTTTTGGGTAAGGACACACAGTGATCTGCTTAGGGAGTGGGAGCAGCAGGATTTTACTTTCCCAAAAGCCTGGGGAATATATATCCTGTACCACTGTTTGAGAATCAGCAAGAATGTTGCAAGCAGATTGGTCAAAGTTAGTTAATTTCCTGGTCCTGCCACTATGTTATGTTATTAGCCAGTGTCAACTGATGCTTGGACAATGATTCATCTTGTATTCATTACCAGGAATGACCTTTTCCATTGTGGGCAGTTCTAAACTAAAATCGAAAGCAGAGTGTGCTGGGAGCCTTACTGGAATCTTTTTTAATACCACTTCCTTTGGGAAGTTAACTGGCAGGTTTGGGCCTTGTGCTAGATACCATCAAAGATCTGTTGTTGTTTTACAACAATTTATGTAGCAATACATTAGTGAAGAGTCATGAAAAGTCATATTTTTTCCACAGTGTCTAGACTTACTGTATCAAAAGTTTTCTCAAAGAGCAATTAGAGTTCTGTCATGGCAAGGAAATTATAATCATTACTTGAGAGCATAAGAGAGAAAGTATGGCGCTGATCTATATTCTTTGATAATTTTTAGAATCCCTTTTACAATTGTTAATATATGAAAGGAATGTTTTAAATTATACACATCTAGTCTCTGCTAAGTGAGGAAACGCTGTCATGAGCACTCAAAAGTTACTCACTGTCAGCCTACTTTTACTTGTCCTTCTTGTGGGTGGCCATGTCATAATGGACACATTATCCTAAGCAATTTAGCACTAAGTGATCGTAACAGTCTATTTACAAGCCCCCTCCCCAGCCTCACCTGTTATCCAGCAGCGCATGTCAAGCCAGCCTCTCCTCCATAAATCACATTCTACAACCTTACCATTCAAGCCTCCTTTCCTTCTGCACCGTGCTCAGTTCCACACACTGTTCATCATTTCCCTAGGCTCCAAGCATCCCATGCTTCTGCTCTTTTCTAATTATAACAAGCTATCAGGATTTTGTCTGTCCTCTTTCCCCCTCCCCCCCCCCCCCAGGAAGACAGTAGCATCTTCTACAAAGCTACTAAACCTTCCTTCACAGGAACCTGAAGTCGTGTTAGAAAATAAAAGGCACTGATACTCTGTCTTACTTCAGTCTCACATTCAAAACTTCTTTAAAAGTTGAGGAGCATCATTAGCAATCTCAGCTCTGATTCTGACCACAGTTTTTGCAAAGTGATGTCCCACGCTGCTGTGAACTCTATGTGACTTTAGGTTCTTTGCACTGCAAGCCAACCTCCCCCCTTCACCCCACTTCCAACAGACTGATGCTCTACCTCTTTGTTAATCCAGCTCTGCCCATCACGTTACTGGGAGGTTTTTTGCTTAGTCTCGCCCTCACTTGCGCACTATACAGTTAGAGATTACACTGGCCTTTGGAAAAGAACAGATTTCAACAGAAGAGCTTTGTAGACCAAACTCGGATAAACTTTAGTGACCTCTTGAATAAAGAACTGAAGATTAGTTTTGGTTCTGAATCATATGTGAAATTTTCTATGGTTTCTAGTACCTACAGTTATGACTTCTGTCAAGTTAGAAGACATGTAATCAGAATAAACTATGATATTGCTTTTCCTGTGGCAAAATAACTCTTAGGTTTAAAAAGCCACAGAGATTAGGGTAAGAAATTGCAGTTTATGTAAGTCAAACGCATTAAGAATGATTAGTCTGTAGAACGTAGAACAATCAGCTGCTTTTAAGAATGCCTGGACAAAGATTTTTGCTCTAGCCATTAAAAAACAGAAGAAACGTCTGCAGGTTTGCCTTCTAGATAATCCCAAAACAGGTTTCAAATAAGGTGAGAGCCAGTGTTAGGAATTACGTTATTTTCACCACAAGACAAGGCTTATGTAAATTCCATGTACAAACTGTGCACAACATCCTGAAAAATAGAGCATTTTTCTTTTCCTGATGACATCAAACCATCCATCACAAGAAATTAAAGAAGTAAAATATCCAAAAAAGCATGGCATATACTGTAAATAGCCCAACTAGGACAAGCTTTTTATTAATGAGGTTACTAGATAAAATATACATAACAATATGCATGAAATAAGCATCTTGCATGCATGGGAAGTTGCTATACAAAACCTGAAAGATAAGCCTGATTAAGGCAACGTAGAGAAAGAAAAGGAATACACAGTGTTCTGATGTCAGAGATGAAATAGGACAATGTCCAGAGACCGTGTTGCGCATATCAAACTCCCACATAGCAGCTAGGTCATCTTTTTTCCAGAATAAAACTAAACTTTTATTGGCTGAAAAGAAGCATATTTGGATTACTAAAAACAAAGAATTCCTGCTACTTTGGTGTGGCTAAGAATAATCTCAATTTTTATACTAACAAACCCATGAGTTACTTTCACCTTTTTCAAAATTAAATGCTTTGATTTTTTTTGGTTTCAAACTTAATCTAATAAGGAGGAGGTACAGAATTTAAAAATACTAAGAAATAGAAAATGCAACTTTCCTTCTAAAAACAGAAGGAAAAACGTCCCACTTGGTTAGATTCCAAACGAGTGTTTTTCCAAGTGAGACAATCAACGCAACAGAAAAGCTCTGAGTTCTTTTTTCTTGTTTGTTTGTTTTTGTGGTACATACAGCTGTTTCCAGAGAGCAGAATAGGCTGCACGTCTGGGTACCAATTCCCATGTGCCTGCTGGAGGACGGGATCAAGGCTCTGCCCTGCTGAGGTAAGTGGAGACATTAGAGCAACGGACCCTACTCCAGGCTTAGGTCTGCCCCAGCTCATCTTTGGGGCAGGAGAGAGCTTGGTGGCAGCTGTGCCTACAGAGCCACTAAGAGTTACTCCTATACTACACTGTGGGCTCTGGGAGGACATAGGAGCTTGCTATTGGAAGCAGCAGATGTTAAGCAGAATTCAGGGACAAGTGTTTGGGGACAGACAAGCCTGCAGAATTGGTAGTTAGGAGCAACAGCTGGGGAGACGATAGGGGAAAACAGTATAGGATGGGATAAGATGAAATGAAGAGAGAAAAAATAAATCAAAAAAAGACTTCTGCTAGAAAACACATTTTGGCAAGTACTTTTGAAGTGAAGAGATAAAGCACTGCATCCCAATTAAGTCAACGTTATGTTTTTGTTTTCACTTTAGGATGAATTTTAAATAAAAAAGGTTCTTGCAGAATATTTACATGTTATCAAGGTGACAAGTCCCAGTAAGAAAGCATTCATACCGGCCAGTTTTAGTCTCTTGGTCCTCAGCTCACCTGCCAGTTCCTTTCCTCGCCAACTAGGAAAGACAGTCTTTCAATTTTCATTTGCTTAAATGGAGGTCCAGTAATGAAGTAGACTAAGAACCAGAAAGCTTTTGGAGGCACTGCTGAGTGGTATCAAGTCAAGAAAAAGGGTAGAGAGGAGAGCCAGGAGAAAGACAGGATGAATGAGAACTCTAAGGACAAGAGTGTTTACGTTTAGGACAGAGCAATTCCTTTTTCTCTGCAATAAAGGCAGGGCGTGATGGGGAAGACAGAGTTAGCTTTAGCCAGTGCTTACAGTCGTTTCCCCAATTTTGGTTCTACTGCCCTCATAATCCTGCTCAAGTTCTACCAAAGGATTTTGCATGGATGGGAAATTCCCCCTTTACCACAAGAAAAATTCCGCTCTGTCCCTTCTTAAAGGCTGTTATTCCCCTTTCACATTACAAAGTTGAGAAAACCCCAGAATATGTTTCAGATCCTTGTACTTTTGAGCAAGCTTCTTTTCTCCTTCCAGATCCAAATGTTAGTTTCAGCTCATAGGAAGCGTTGCTTCCTTTTTTCAGGAGGGAGGCTTAAATAAG